GACTTTTCGACTTCACGCTGTATTTTTTTGCCATCTGGTCTGTCACATCTACACCAAATTTTGTACGATTATAAAATCTAATAGTTTCCCGTATACGTTTATTGCTTTGTTATACTCTCGCAACAAAGTTGCTAAAGAGAGTATTATAGTTTTGTTCACATAACGGTTGTTTGTAAGTCCCAAAACTAAAAGAGTTAGATATAGTATTATATATACCAAAGTGATCAGGGTGACGAGTAGGGTTGAAATCCGGATGTCTGTCTGTCCGCCCGTGCAAGCTGTAACTCGAGTAAAAATTGAGATATCATGATGAAACTCGGTACACGTATTTCTAGGCTCCATAGGAAGGTTAAGTTCGAAGATGGGCAAAATCGGCCCACTGCCACGCCCACAAAATGGCGAAAACCGAAAACTTATAAAGGTTATGTTGAAAATCACTAAAAGACGTTAACCGACTAACAAAAAACGTCAGAAACACTAAATTTTACGGAAGAAATGGCAGAGGGAAGCTACACCCAGGCTTTTTTTAAAATTGAAAATGGGCGTGGCGTCGCCCACTTATGGACCAAAAACCATATCTCAGGAACTACTCAACCGATTTCAATGAAATTCGGTATATAATATTTCCTTAACACCCTGATGACATGTACGAAATATGGAACCAATGATGATAGCGGAATAAAACTTTACACAAATACGAGCTGAGGTATCCCTTGAGGAAAAATTGTCGTGATCGGACTACAACTTTTCAAAGTTCCTGATATCGAACACGAAGAACTCAGTGCCTACCTAACCTAAAATAATTTTTCACCGAAAAAATTGATAAATCAATACAGTTAAAATAAATGAAAATACAATTCCCTACTCAAAGTTCATAAATTGATCTAATTTAATTAATTTTACAGCAAAATAAAAAAAATATGTAAATGACGGAGAATGAAATCTCGATTATCAGTTTATCATGCGAGAGTATAAAATGTTCGGTGACACCCGAACTTAGTCCTTCCTTACTTGTTTATATTTCTCTTGAGTTATGTTTAGAACTTACGACAAGCACTTTTATTTATTTTTGGCTTACTTTTATACATTGTCAAAGTAATGTAATATGATTTACATATTATATATAATTTGCTTGAAAATCTAGCCATTTTATCTTTTCTTTCTTTGGCTAACTTCGGGAACTCTCTCTTGTTTACACGAATTGCTCCAACATTTGTAGTTTTTTGAAAGTAATTTCTTGGTTAATGAAACATTGTGAAAAAATTATCCGTTGTTACGTTTCTTTCACATCCTGTAAATGGATGGGGCATTGAACGGTCGTATATACTTCATAATTTCAGTAAAGTCGTTTCGGCTCATTGTTTTTGAAAAAAGGCGGGCCCCTAATTTTCATTCCACAAATATGATATATCCAAATTTTTTGCCTTAAATGCGCCACGAGCAAACAGCAAAGCAATGAATGCATCTATTTTTGTTGCATTTAGCTCCCACTTAGTACCTAACATCCTAAATGCTTCTTCTTCTGTACATTTTATAATATGATGCATTATACTCTGATCAATGATAAGAGCAAATGCCGTCTTCATTTGTCCTTTCATTATATGTCGTTTAGCATATCCCGTTGGCCCTGACGTATCCCTAAAAATATTATGCACTGGTAATTTGTCAGGGTTGGAACTTTCGTTTATTTCTTCCCAGACTGTTCCATCAACAGCTCGATGTGTTGATCCTCTAAATCTATCTCACTTTCGGTTTTTCATTTCGAGACGTTTCTTGTTCATCATATTCTGAATTCTTTTCTTCAATTTCCGTTATATTTCTTAAGTAATTTGTAATTTTCCATTGCAAAATAAACTCTTTAGAAGTGCACTACTTGACACAGTAACCAATACAACTTATTGTCAAGTCCTTTCCATTGAAACCCACGCTGAGATAATTATAAAAGATTGTACTCTGAGGTAACGGTATAATATTTTTGCCCACTGGTCATATTGACCGGCCGCGGTAGGTAGGCCACATGACAAAATTTTTCTTGGAAAATAAAGCAAATAACCTAAAAATCCAATGCACTATGTCTGTTATGTGGCTTGCCTCGAAATTTCAGTATAGTCTTGTTAGAAATAATGCTATAATAGTCGGATTGAACTGATATTATAAATTTGGACTGAGTTTCCTTCTAATAAAAGGATATTTGAAGTTCAAACAACAAATGTCAACAGTCATTCAATTGGAAGGAGCAGAAACTACAAGGTCTGACCGAAAACTTAAATATGGTAACACGGAGAACAGTTTGCCCTTGGAGTTCATTCCAATCTGCTCATTGGGTTAGACCTTTTGGGGTGATTCGTGATGTCTATGGTTTAAGCCTAAAGGCATGTAGAATTGAAAATTCTGTGCAATGTCAATGCCTCACCGCGGTCGGGTACCGGACCCACAGCAGAGCAGAGCTTTTAGTTGGAACTTCAAATTCCCATTTTATGTATATAGAGCCTTTTAGTATTCATAAGATTTTACCCAATTTTTGACATAAAAGAACATTAATATCGAAATTAAAATCTCTTTTAATAGCAAAGATGTGTGAAAAGATGTGGTCAATTGTTTGACAATAAATTGACTTCCTTGAAGCACTATTTTAGCAAAGATTGGCTTCGATACTTTTCCTGAAATTTTAAAATTATGATGTACGATTCCACTGTATGCGTAAGATACACTTCCCTACTTCGATTAAATTAAGGTTTTGTATTTAATTTGCGGCATAGTTATAGCACTTTATATATTTTCGATGAGAGGCATTTTTTGCGCGTGGTAATGGTCCGATCCTTCCCATTTGCATCTCTAGTTCCAAAGAATACTTGTATTTTATTTCATTAAGATGGACGGACGGACAGATATGTATTCAACTCGTGTCGTCATCCTGACCATGTATAGTATATCTAGCTGGATTAGTTTTAAGTTTCAAAAAACCCGTTCGTTGAACAAAACTCGTATAATCTATGGCAGCATTGCATATTAAAAAGTAATTGAATTAACATTTATAATTAACTTGGATTCAAAAATAAAACTTTTACTTTTAATCCGTAATTGTTGAGTTAAAAAATTCGTAACTCTGCTCTATGACAACATGTTATACATAGGTATATAGTATGTATTAGAGTATTAAAAAAAAAATATTAATAAACATTGAAACTGAGTGATAAAACTAATGACTTAAATATGCTCTGTGATGTCGGCAATATCTAATATATAAAGTTCTTGCGTCGCGGTGTTTGTTGACAAACCTCTCCAAAACTGGTGGGTCGATTTTATAGGAATTTTATGTGATTATCGGGTAGATCTGCGAATCGGCCAAAATCCATTTTTCATACCCCTAAGTTTTAAGGATGGTCCACCCCAAATTTTTTATTTATTTTTTCATGATTCAAAAATACATGTAATTCTAAATTTTCGCCACTTTTATATTATTCTGTTCCATCCACAGAAACACAACATAGCAATCGATTATAATAAACGTATTATACGTTTTGTATAATTTATCAACTAAAATAATGTATATTTTCATTGCCTACAGCTCTCCATTCTCCTTTCAATTATAAATTTCATATGTTCTTATTATTACAGGTTATATTGAGGCCGGAAATGAGATTTGCTCTGCCGGCTTTATAATGATATAATAATGAGATGATGTTGTAGAACTGAATATTTCAGACCCAACGAATTTGACTTCTAACGCCACGGAAAACGGTGAGAATTCTGAATTAGAATTTATTCAAGCGACATCCAAATATGATGTAAAGCATTCTTTTGCAATTCTAAATTCCTATTTAACCACGAATATTATATTGTACAACTGACGATCACTATAAAGCGATAAACAATTAATAAGTAAAACTATGTACATAAGAAAAGCACTTTACCCGAAGTAAATAAATAAAGTTGTATATAAATATACATAAATTTTACAGCTTTTTGAAAAATTTTATGTTTTAATAAAAACCTCAATAACTTGAAGTTTTTGTGGATTACGGTGATTCGAGTTGGGAAAGTTCGTCAGCTGGTTTTATTATAAAAATTCGTTTTTTTTTTTATTATTAGGCAAATGTGTGAGTCGTTTCTGTTAATAAATTTACTTTGCAGTTAACCTAGCTTCCTTAATACATCGTATACCTAATTGACATCAAACAAGTAAGAAAGTAAGTTTTGCGTATACGTCACTTACAGAGGAAAAGCCAAGAATTTGAAGTAAAGCAGTAAATAAACCACAGTTTCCAAAATGGTTTCTAAACCTTTGGTATCCCTCTAATCTAATATAGACAAAAATTCGTCGGAATCTTCGGTTCACTCTGATTTTATCCATAAGAAACTATGAGAAACTTTGAGATATTTTTTAAACTGGAAGGATTATAGGAAACTATAAGTATATTGTACGCAAAAAAAAAAAAATCTTAAGCGAAATAAAGGGTCTTTAAACTCAATTAATATGTAAGTTTTAATGTATATGAATGTGGTATATACATACATATGTATATTAAGGCGTGTCGGGTTTTTTTGTGAAATCGCAGATGCGGGATGTTCTGCTTACCATTCTGAACAACTTTGCCTAAGATATTATGGGTCTAAAACTGGTTTGGAGTTTAGAACGTCTGAATAATCGGTTTTAATTTTTATTCTGACAGCTGAAAAACTGACGAACAAATTTTATAATTCCTAAACAACTTTAACTTAAAAAATTTCCGGTTTTTTGGCTCTCTGTAAATCCACCCTTTTTATTGTATATGTACCTACAGTAGTTGTAACTGCCCTTTAAGTACTTAGTATTTCCAATAAAATTCCTTTAAAATCAATTTTAATTTTATGTTCGAAATAGTTAAAACAAATTTGAATAGAGGTAGAGCTGTCAAGTTTTCGAAAAGCAATAGAATCTCTAGAGACACAAATAAAAATAGTAAACTTAAAAATTTTAATCACATAAAAAAATAGAAAAATCATAAAAACCACAGATTTTTAATCAATCAATTCAAAAATTTCAAAATTATTTCGATTTTTTTCATTCTACCCTTTTTATTAAAAAAAAGCTGTCAAACTTTTTACCTCCCTCTCTCCCGATAATAACCGTCCGTCGCACGAATCTCACTCGTATACAAATACACAATAAAAAATCGTAATCCAGGATTAAAAAGAACAACATCAAAGCAACAACTATAAAATAAGTCGAACTAGAATAATGCAGAAGAACTTGGAATTACGTGATGTGTGCAGTTTGACATCGACGAAGAAATTTAATCGCTGTCGTTCCTTTCACTTCCGGTATTTGGAGCTCTGTCGAGCGAAGAATCTGACTCCTTTGCCAGATATTCGTACTAAAAACAATGCAACATCGATGTTAGATTTTTTCGGAGAAAAATTAGGTGTTACTGATTGGCTACTCATCATAGAAGCTCTTTACTATGATCAAGTGCTCCAAACGCTTAGCATCCGCTTGCGCAAGACCCTGGGTTCGGGTAAGTGTACCACATTAACAGCTTTCGTTTACCAAATTATATTTGAACTGATTGTACGTATGAATACTGACAGTGTTGGAGCATTTGGATACGGAAAAGAAGGCACGGCTCTTTAAGCAGAAGCCGGTGATCTGTACTAAGTTTGTTTTTTCTGGTATCGTGGAGGCGGTCTCAAATTGTATTGAATTCAACAAGAATTTAAGAATTCTAAATCTCGAAGGTTTGCCACTCAATGATAAATACGTGGAATCTATAGCTAAGGTATGTGAATTACACAAGGTGATCCGAAACCTTTAGCATTATTTTCTAAAGTGTATCTTTGAATTGTACTTGAAAATGCATTATTATTTCTCCTAACCACTTCGCAGGCTCTGTCTTCGAATGAAAGCCTTAAGGAAATAAGTTTTCAGCGTTCGAATATTTATGATAAAGGATGTGAGGCTATATGCAATACAATAAAATATCTGGAAAATGTAGAGAAGTTAAATTTATCTGAGTGTGAGCTATCAACAAAGGGTGCCGAACATGTCGCCGATATGATTAAGGTACGAAAGCGACAATCAATAAGTTTCGAGGTCGCCATTTCGTGAACAATATATGTATGTATGTACATATATTAACTCGACGTCACGAATATTTCTTTTACAGATACAAAAGATCAGCCGCTACACGGAGGGTTGGCAAAAATCGCTACGCTATCGGGATGTAGATCCAGACTCTATACCTGGACTGCGTTCGATTGCATTGGCGCGTAATCCACAAATCGGCGATGATGGTGTAAAAGCAATCGTAGAAATATTAAAGGAGGATGTATGGGTAAAAGGTAATTGAACAACAATGCTTTTGCAATATTGTTACTGACGATGTGTGCTTTTCCATGCAGTTATCGATATGGAGAATTGCGGTCTGACTGATCGTGCCGCTAACATGATCTTGGATTGTCTCGAAGTCAACAACTACATAATTGATTTCAATGTACGTGGAAATGCAGGTATCAGTAAATTCCTGCAGCGTAACATTCGTGAGCAACTGGGGAAGGAGGATGAGGATATGAAGATGCTGGAAGGCCACATGCAACAGAGTACAAATGGCAATGGGCCCAATTCGCAGTCCAAAAAGAATCGCGTCACCTTGGCACAGCTTAAGGAGCAACTCAAAACGCTTGAGGAACAATTAGCGTTCGAGCGTGTCTTACGTAAAAAGGCCGAACAGTTGAATGAGAAACTCAACCAACAGATAATTGCATATGAGAATCAAATGGAGGATGAAGCCAATGCTCGTATACCTGAAGGATATGTTGTTGTGAAAAATGAATCACTGCAGTCTATTATCAAAGAGTCAGTGCATGCCTGCATTAATATTAATAGCGGTCATAATATAATTTATTATTCTATATTTGCAGACGCAATGATTTCCAGAAGCTGGCCAGCAGCGTTTGTCGCAAAAACTCACCGCGCAATAATAACAGCCGATCGAAGCAGATGAACGCGTTGCAAATGCAAAGTTCACACATGTCGCTACGAGAAAGTCATAATGTGAGTATGTTGCCACCAGGCGATGACACTTCCTGCCATGTTAATGCTGTTGCAAGCGCGAAGAACGTGCAGATGTATCGAGAAATACCATCACCTACTTCGACTGTGAAGGAGATGCCCCGGAAGCCTCTCAAAGTGCGCAAAGTAAAAAGTGAAATGAAGTACGTTGAACCAACTCCAAAAGATTCGTCCAAAAAAAAGGAATCTAAATCGGATCATGAGTTCGCCAATGAGACTGATGTAAGTAGGAAATTCCAGAAGCAAATCTATGATATCTTAGCTACCTATTTGCTGTGATATTGTTTATAACATATATAATTTTATTGTTATATTTATGTATGTATGTATTTTTTACACTTTAGTAAGTTAAATCTTTTCTTATTAACCGTTTACCCAGAATATTAATAAACGCGAATAATTTATTGCTAAAACAAAAAAAAAAACTAAATACTTAGGCGTTATATATTATATATTCGTTCTTATGGATACGAAAGAGTATTTTAAGCATTTTTGGTAATATTTTTACAAAACGAAAAACGCACAGGCCGAAAGAATAGTAGGAATTAGATAGTGGCTCTATACGAATGTATCAATAATCGTCAACAAGTCGGTTATTAAGAACTTCTTTATTCAGGTTCGTGTTATCTATTTAAGCAACACTCACACATTTATTTAAAAAAATTAATAAATTGTGCACAAGGAGTTATGTTCAATAGGTTAGCATATAAATACAATTAATTTTTACCCATTATTTTCATTTTTTGCAGTTTCAACTTACTGCGGTGCACTTTGAAACGAATATCGGCGATTCGGCAGCGAACAACTTGTCTCCGATGATGTTACCAATGCCAGGCGTTTCGTCATCATTGCTTACACAATTAACGGCGCGCATTGATAAGAAGCCGTTAAATAATGGTGGTGGCTGCTCCATTCCCAGCAGCAGTCGCAATAATTTTTGTAATAAAATTGAAATGGACGATTTGTCCATATCCACATCTCGAAGTCAAACCAGCGATTGCTGTTCCAGCGATTCGGACACTTTGCGTAATAGTGTTTCAGATTTTCAACCGTTAAAGGTCTTCATACGACGCAACAAGTCGTTGACGTCGCAACAGCAATTGCAACATGGTCAATGCGAGGGTTTGACTATGGATATAAAGTCGCCTCGTACACTCTTTATGGGACTGTGCGATGATTGACGAGATAACAATTCTGTGGAAAAGAAGGACGCAAGAAAGCCAGAAATTATGTGGAAGTTTATTTTATTTTATTTGTTGAATTTAGCATTTTTTCTTTTAAAGCTATCGCCGAGAAGTACATCAAGGCCTCTCACTCCTCATTCCTTCTTCCTAGTTTTTTCTTAGGAAGTATGGTGAAGAGATATGTGTCTCAAATATTGTAGAATCACACTACAAAATTCTCTGTAGCGTCCGAAATATATTTTCGTATATTTTTTCTTGCTTACAGCAGTTCTTGTGTAATCCTTTTCTCAATTCTGTGTATACGCATATGTATATATTTTGTATAATATTATGTTGCAATAAATAATAGTTTATAAAAAGTCGTAGAAAATTATTAAACACCAAACAATAAACCACAGACTAACCGTAAGCGTTTCACTGTGCTTGTATTTTGGAAGTCCATTTCTAAATTTAATGAATTGAACTATTCTTTCTTTGCTTTTCAATAAATGGAATAGTAAGTATTGTATTTCACCATAAATGTGCATTTTTTTTTAAATAAGTGAGAACATTTTACATTTAAATTCAAAGTTTGTAGTAATTATTTCATTGTTGGGAATTGGGAATTGGTAACCATTACCATATTTTAATACATGCATTTATATTTAACCGCCAAAACCGTACAGGGTGCGACCTTGACGTTTCAAGGCGTATACAACATCCATAGCGGTGACCGTTTTACGCTTGGCGTGTTCGGTGTAGGTGACAGCATCACGAATTACGTTTTCCAAAAACACCTGGAAATAATTTACTTTTGCAATTAAAATACGATTCAAACCTGAGTGGTTTTCTTACCTTCAATACACCACGTGTTTCTTCATAAATCAATCCAGAAATACGTTTTACACCACCACGACGAGCCAAACGGCGAATGGCCGGTTTGGTGATACCCTGGATGTTATCACGTAGCACCTGCAGAAGCAAAGAAATGCGTATTGAGTTATAATATATATACAGTAGTCAGCGCAATTTTCGAATTTCACAACAATCACCTCTATAACTTACACCACAAATCGAAGCATTCAACCCATCAACAATTACATACCTTACGATGGCGCTTTGCGCCTCCTTTTCCTAAACCTTTACCACCTTTTCCGCGTCCAGTCATTTCGTTATTGTTTTACTTTAATATGGCTCTTAATAATATCAGCTGCAACTGTAATATAATGTTTAAATATAATTAAAAATATTTGGTATCTTTTTTTAATGTTTAATAAATAAAATACAAATATAACAGGGTTTTCAATAAGAGTGCTGCAGGTTTTTTTTTTCCTTTGATAGTACATTTAAGCCATTACGTTCCATGTAGGCCAATTTTTTTCGTAAAATGCGCCTTATCTACGTCCCAGAGGTGCACACGGCAGCAATATTCTCGACACTACGGGCACTTCTTTGCTCACTGGCACCTCGAGAATATTTTATACTGTGAATGTGGTCTCAAATTTATCCACTATACGCTCATGTTGATCTAACAGGACTATTAGGACGACCATAAATTAAAAGCAGCGATTTAAAATTTAGGCCGCAGACTCCGAATTTCGGTAGTAAATTTTAAAAATTTCGATTCGTTGTTTTATCGTATCTCATTCCATGATGAAATGCCAAACTTTAGTGAAAAATAAAAGTGCGGGAAAAATATGGCGTCGTTTGTGGTCCCTATTGGCTACTTTTGTAGAGTTCCTGTTGAAAAATCCTTTATATATGATATTTATATTATTATAACGGGTGATTTTTTAAGAGCTTGATAACTTTTTTAAAAAAAAAAACGCATAAAATTTGCAAAATCTCATCGGTTCTTTATTTGAAACGTTAGATTGGTTCATGACATTTACTTTTTGAAGATAATTTCATTTAAATGTTGACCGCGGCTGCGTCTTAGGTGGTCCATTCGGAAAGTCCAATTTTGGGCAACTTTTTCGAGCATTTCGGCCGGAATAGCCCGAATTTCTTCGGAAATGTTGTCTTCCAAAGCTGGAATAGTTGCTGGCTTATTTCTGTAGACTTTAGACTTGACGTAGCCCCACAAAAAATAGTCTAAAGGCGTTAAATCGCATGATCTTGGTGGCCAACTTACGGGTCCATTTCTTGAGATGAATTGTTCTCCGAAGTTTTCCCTCAAAATGGCCATAGAATCGCGAGCTGTGTGGCATGTAGCGCCATCTTGTTGAAACCACATGTCAACCAAGTTCAGTTCTTCCATTTTTGGCAACAAAAAGTTTGTTAGCATCGAACGATAGCGATCGCCATTCACCGTAACGTTGCGTCCAACGGCATCTTTGAAAAAATACGGTCCAATGATTCCACCAGCGTATAAACCACACCAAACAGTGCATTTTTCGGGATGCATGGGCAGTTCTTGAACGGCTTCTGGTTGCTCTTCACCCCAAATGCGGCAATTTTCCTTATTTACGTAGCCATTCAACCAGAAATGAGCCTCATCGCTGAACAAAATTTGTCGATAAAAAAGCGGATTTTCTGCCAACTTTTCTAGGGCCCATTCACTGAAAATTCGACGTTGTGGCAGATCGTTCGGCTTCAGTTCTTGCACGAGCTGTATTTTATACGGTTTTACACCAAGATCTTTGCGTAAAATCTTCCATGTGGTCGAATAACACAAACCCAATTGCTGCGAACGGCGACGAATCGACATTTCACGGTCTTCAGCCACACTCTCAGAAACAGACGCAATATTCTCTTCTGTACGCACTGTACGCATTCGTGTGGTTGGTTTAATGTCCAATAAAGTAAACTGAGTGCGAAACTTGGTCACAATCGCATTAATTGTTTGCTCACTTGGTCGATTATGTAGACCATAAATCGGACGTAAAGCGCGAAACACATTTCGAACCGAACACTGATTTTGGTAATAAAATTCAATGATTTGCAAGCGTTGCTCGTTAGTAAGTCTATTCATGATGAAATGTCAAAGCATACTGAGCATCTTTCTCTTTGACACCATGTCTGATATCCCACGTGATCTGTCAAATACTAATGCATGAAAATCCTAACCTCAAAAAAATCACCCATTATATTATATACAAAAAAAAAAAACGGAATTTAAAACTCAGGATATAGGCACAGCTTTAAGTTTTCACAAATGGCGAAGTTAATGTTTTCGTTTCATTGTGTTCTATCTATCGGCTGTTTTAAGAATTATAAACATAAACCTCCGATGCAACAATTACACAAGTAATACTTAAAACCAATTAATACAAAATAATATTCCACATATATAAAAAAGAAAAACAGAATTTAAAACTCTTACCTTTCAGACACTGCTTTGACGTTCCACAAATGACGATGTTAATGTTTTCGTTTCGTTGAGTATCTTTTCGTCACCGCAAGTTCGTGTACGAAAAGGAAAACAAATGCCTATTGCGGAACTCTAGTACAGTATATTTTTCGCACACCATTTCTGGCGTGAACGCAAGGTTGTATATAAAAGGTCAATTATCTACATATACTTGAACCTCTGGTCTAAAATTTTGGTGTGGTAAGTATTCTGTCGGATTCTAAAATGTTATAATATTGATAAACTTTGTAATTCTTGTATTAAAATTACTTTATTTTAAGAGTAGTTATCAGAAAAAACCATTTAATTTAATATATTGTGACATATCTTAGCTGCCCATCTACAATTTAATATTAACAACCATAGTAAATTTATTCGTTTGCATCTGCTGTGTTTTATATTTAATTTAAATAATAAAACGTGTAAAGCTTTTGTTCGAAATAATTAATTTAGTCTAGAGGTTAAAATTCGGTCGTGGACTTTGTTTGTAATGTAGGTAACTCTGATGTTTGGATCAAAATAAAAAGAAAATACACTGTCTATCCCACTTTACCGCTTGCGACATACTTTATCGGCGACTATCAGTCGTGCTGTTTAAGACTCTTTTTCACTCCCACGCATGGTGCCAAAGGGAATGCAGCAAGTGTTCTCAGTGAGCACAGATGAAATGCAGAAAGAAAAGTCAAAATGACAGCAAAATAACTGCGTTCCAGGGAAAAGATGCAGCACAAATCTTGTTTGAGCGATATAATACGGAAAAACTTGATTGAATAGAACATATTTCATACGAATTAAGTGAAGACAGTGATATTCATATGTGATTTACAAAATGTAAATAGTTTCATATAAAATAATTCTACTGATCTTTTAGGATAAACCTACAAAACTTCATGTGCTTGAACATATCACAAGTTTAAAGAGGTCATTTGTGAGCGAGTATAAAAGTGATTCTGATACTATACTATTATGAAAATGTTTAATGATAACTGGACTTCCGCAAAGCCTACATATAAATGATAAAAAATAGGCTTATCAATTACTTTTGCAAAATAAAACTAAAATTACTATAAATTACCGAACAAAAAGCAACAAGCATCGATAGTTGAAGCAGTAAATAGATAAAAATACGCTGTGAAGTAACGAAGTATACACAATGTTTGGAATTGTGTAAAGCAAAAAAGGATAAAATTGCATCGCAATCACGGGGCGTAATTACACGGTATTTTAATACTCTTCAAAATATTTAAAAATTATATACTGTGATAATGCATTATCTTCGTATATTCAAAATAGCTTTTGGATTACTTTAAAAATGAATTTTCACGTATAATTTGTCGATAATACGGTGATAAAAGTGTGGTCTTTAACAGATCTTGACAACTACCTTCCATGTGCCAGATTTATTATTCAAGTGAACGATACAGTATCTGGCGATTAAGTAATATATCAAAATTTTAAAATGATCAAAATTAAACCTTTATGGTGTTCCTTGCCATTTTGGCAGCAAACCACAATGATGCTGCTCTTACTCTACCCCATTTTGGTGACAAGTAAGTAAAATTTATATTGTATTATATTATGCTATTTATATAGGTAAATTATTTATTTGTTGTAATGCCTTGCACTCCGTTTTACTGACAAAAAAATATAGTGAGAACGATCTTTATAATTAGTGTGTCTTTTTTATTGTCGGAAACTGCCGAGTAGCTGATTCTAATCCTCAGCCACTTGAATCACTTTGTTTCAATAGCATGCAGCAGAAATTTATTAGAGTGCTGGGCCTGTTGTAGTCCCTGTAATACAGGGAAGGTAGAATAGATCTTAGGTTACGGTGCAAGCCTCTTTTTATTTCTACCTATGTATCGTTTTTTTTAAGGATTATAAATACTAACTTCTTCTTTTGTACCGATAAAACAACTAACGATTAACAAATAACACTTAAATACGTAATACCTTAATTTGTTTTAATTATATGCTTTTTACAAAGTAATATTTTACAACAACGTCGGTGTTATATGTAATATCTCTATAAATTATTCAAATATTATTATTTTGTTTTTATGCCTTATATCAGTTTGCAGTTCGTATTTTAAACAAACCGCCCATTCCTTACTGAACGCCTCATTGATATGCTATGTCATCATATCGTAGTCTTCAGCAGGAGTTGTATCCTTAACATAGCTCACAGTGTATTCCTTTCTCAGCTCAAATTACCCGCACACTATTTTCTGCGAAGAAAGTTATAGTCAATTGTGAATGAAAACATGCTGCTAAATGCATATACCAGTGACTGGTGGGGCATACGATATGCCTACAAAGTGAATATTGTGCAGCAGCGCCAAGTAGAAGACTTGCTGGCGGCAAAAAATGCAAACTTTCCATGCCGAAGATGAAAGGCCAACCATACTTATACCGTAGTTAATACTGCCACTGAGAACTTTTGCACATAGTTACATACATATAGTATGTATTAGCCACATACATACATAAACAGTTAGGCATATTTGTTTGGTTTTGTTGTTATTCGAGTACTTGATTGGAATGAAAGTTACGGTCCTACTTTTCGCTTTTAAAGTTGGTTTGGCTTATCCTGTTACTTTCCATTTTGTCTTTTGCACTTCTTCTTTCGGCTACCGTTTGATCCGTTGGTTTTACTATTTTTAACATTATTCTATTATTTTTTAATTCACTAAAAGAATCACTGCATTTGCATATACTGTAATAGCACATATGTATGTACATATGTATACGTATATATGTGCATAGTATAAAGTGATATATTTTGTGATTTAATAAATGTATTTGTTATGTTGTGTTCGTTTTGTAGATTTTGCGGGTTGGACCCAGGCCGCCGTTTTGCCTGATGACCATAGAATTGACTGTGAGCACTTTGATGAAAAGAATTGTACCACAGAGGGTGATTGCGCGATCAAAGTGGAACACTGCAAGATGGAGTCGGAGAAGACATCCAGTTGTTATGTGCTATGGACCATGGATAGGGATACAGGTATATTTATTTATTTTTAAGCTGTTATATGTTACGAATGAACCAAAAGGGTTTTATCCCCGAATTCATGCCTATTTGTATTTCAATGATCCATTTTTTTGTTGTAGGTGAAACCAAAATTAAAATGAAGGGTTGCTTCACAGATATGCATGAATGCAATCAAACGGAATGTATTACCAGCGTGGAGCCGCGACAAAATAAATTATACTTTTGCTGTTGCAAGGGTTCCATGTGTAATATGGAGCACAAATGGATCCCTACCACCACCGAGGCCACAACTCAAGGTAAACTAGCATTGCTTTAAGGATACGCAAAAAAAAAAAAAAAATTAGATTTCAAGTTCACTAGCTCGTTACCTCGAATCTTGACCGAAGATAAATCTGCAATTCTTTATTTTAAAATAATCTTTCATAAACTTTGTAGCGCCATTCGTAAATTGTTTATATTAAGTAGAGGGAGCTTAAAACACGACAAAGAGAATTAGCTAAAATTAGTGAAATGCTATTTTACTTACACAATTGGTATGATAGGCAAGACCAACTACCCAATGAACTATCTCTGAGACCCTATAACAGATATTTTTATAATTGATCAACGATCAAAAATTAGTCCCTCAGTTTTTGAGGGAAATTTTCCACATATCATTTTCATTCTAAGAAGTTTCTCATTTGTTGAAACCACCGATATCGGACCTCTATAGCATATAACAGTCATACAAACTGAACGATCGAAATTAGATTTTTGTTTGACAAAATCTTATTTGAAAACTGCCCGATTAAAATCATGTTTATATCTGATTTTTTAAGCGTATTATAGTTTTGAAGCAACCGTAGTTAACGTTTTTTTGAAAATTTAAATTTATTCAAGCAACACCGTTATAGTTTGTGTTAGTAAGTGAATTGTTCCATTGCACTTACACATCCCCAGATTGCAAAAATTTAAGATAAATATTTGGTGTTTGTGTATTGTACTCTTTAAAATTCGTTAGAAATGATATAAATGTTTAAAATAGCGCAGACGTTTTCAATTCTGCTGTGTTCAACGTATTATTATTAGCACAATTTGAAATATTCTGCTTGATAAATATTCCTGTAGATCTTAATATTTCTTAAAAATTTAAAGTATTAAACCTTTAAGGGCAACTCTAATCAGCTCGTCACACTGTTCCACCGCGTGTGCTGACTTTAGCTCAAGTGACGATTGCCTCTGTTGCTATATATACATACATATATTCATACTTAGATGCACATCCGTATAACCGTAAATACACGTATGCCAAATGCTATGATTCTGATGCTGTTGCTCATCCGCTGAAGTGTTTAAATCTGTCAGTAGTTGGGGAGGTAAAAGTAACAGAAAAAATTACAGCGATAAAAACAACAACAACAGAAGCCACAATAGTCGTGGCACGTGTGCTTGTTCGAACGCGCGAATTGCGAGTTGTGAGTTGCTCTGACAGAGCGCCACACAGTGTTTACCCCAATTTTTACTTTGTTTTGCTTTGCTACTTTGTATCGTTTGAGGTTCCTGCTTCTGCTTTTCGGTTGCTGAATGCTGTGTGAAACTGCTTGTTTGCGGGTGCAGCTAATATTGTCGTGGCGCATTGGCATCGCATCGCATCGTTGATGTGGTGTCGTTGTAGCGCAGCCCAACACCCCCAACTACCAGCGTCCTATGCCGAGTTAACGAACTCGGCAATAAAAAAACGACCAAGTATAACAAAACGGCCGCACAGCAAAGGATCCAGCAGCAAAACTCGCTTCCAGTTGCCTGCATCTCGGTTGTTTGGGCAGAGCTCTGTTACTCTGTTAGTTGCAACTTGGGGCATGCATGTGCTGTCACAGTTTAATAGCTGTTGCATTGAGTGTTGTTTTTATTTTGCCCATTTTTCATTCCCTATTTTGTTGTTTCTTCATTGCTTTTTTTCACAAATATTAAAAATGCTTGATGCAGGAGCGAATGCCGTATTTTAGTTTTCCTCGTTGCAAGGCCTTTTTTGTTCACATTTCACTTGGAGCACGTTCGTGGGTTTCGTGACCATTTTTACGTTTTGTATGTTCGTGTGCATTTACAT